CCAGAGGATGAAGGCCTGTTGCAGAAAGCCCGGGGGCTGGGTAGGATCGGGACATGTTATCTCAAAATATACTACTTTTGGTATATTATTTTAAGCTGAAGGCAACTTAGGAACCACACACAGGAAAAAAGAAAAAACCTCAATCCTTTATCCTTTCCTACATGAAATCAAGGTTCAGATTTCTTTTCCTTTTCCCGTGTGTGTGTGTGTGTGTGTGTGTGTGTGTGTGTGTGTGTGTGTGTGTGCGCGCGCGCGCACCAGTCCCCCAGCTTTGAACTCAGGGCCTGGGTGTTACCCCCGAACTCTTTTACTCAAGGCTAGCATTCTACCACTTGGAGCCACAGCTCCACTTCCAGTTTTTAGGAGATTAATTAGAGACAGGAGTCTCACAGACTTTCCTACCCAGGCTGACTTCAAACCACAATCCTCAGGTTTCAGCCTCCTGAGAAGCTAGGATACAGGTGTCAAGACTCTGACACCGGGCTCAGAGATCTCTTTTGTAAAGGACATTTCCAGGTATGAAGATGCTCCTGTCTTGCACCAGATATCTGTATCTGTAATGCTGGATATTGCATCAAGCTGTCTACATAGACAACTACCAACCCACCCACCCGCATGCGTGTCCTAGGCTCCTTCCCAGCCCCCCTCCCCCCATGCATGTCCTTTCCCACAATGCACCCCCAGAAGTCCAGTCCCCTGCTTCCTTTCTCTAATTGCTTCACAAATGTTCACCACTTGTTAAAATGGCATACAAACTTCCATGTCTAACAACATATGAAGTGAACAATGTACCATGAAATGTGGGTGCTAGATCTCTTCTTTAACTTTGTCAGTTTAATTCACAAGCCTCTGCCACCCCTCCTGCTTAGAGGGCCCACACGCACACATTGTGAATATTGGAAATAATAGTTACAGCAAGTCTCTAATGATGTGAGAATCTTCGTTACTGCAGCAAAACTCACAGATAAGAGCAGTATCCGCAATACTTTCTTTTAATGTCACCTAGTGAGAAGCCTGGGAACCCAGACCTGTAAGAAATAGTGGCAACCATGAAGACATTACAAGTCCATTTTCATCAGCTTCCTGCCTGGGAAGCTAGTGTCTCCACTGGGAACTGGGTGCCCGCTATGAGGTTGTGACAAAAATAACAGTAGACCATGCACCATGCAGGCTTCTTCCAACACCAAGATCCCCCAGCTGTGGAAATGATCCCCAAATTGATGGTAAATGTAGCTGTTGGTGTTAATGTTTTATTCTGCAAATCCTGACTTTCCTGTTTACAGTTCAAGTCCGTTGTGTTGGATCAGCAATGTCATAACAATGAGCAGGGAGCAAACGCAGCGGACGGGGACCTGGGTCATTGACGTTCCCATGCTGATGTCATGTGCGCGCTTGACGTTCCCATGCTGATGTCATGTGCGCGCTTGACGTTCCCATGCTGATGTCATGTGCGCGCTTGACGTTCCCATGCTGATGTCATGTGCGCGCTTGACGTTCCCATGCTGATGTCATGTGCGTGCTTGACGTTCCCATGCTGATGTCATGTGCGTGCTTGACGTTCCCATGCTGATGTCATGTGCGTGCTTGACGATCCCATGCTGATGTCATGTGCGTGCTTGACGTTCCCATGCTGATGTCATGTGCGTGCTTGACGTTCCCATGCTGATGTCATGTGTGTGCTGCTTGACGTTCCCATGCTGATGTCATGTGTGTGCTTGACGTTCCCATGCTGATGTCATGTGTGCTGCTTGACGTTCCCATGCTGATGTCATGTGTGTGCTGCTTGACGTTCCCATGCTGATGTCATGTGTGTGCTGCTTGACGTTCCCATGCTGATGTCATGTGTGTGCTGCTTGACGTTCCCATGCTGATGTCATGTGTGTGCTTGACGTTCCCATGCTGATGTCATGTGTGTGCTTGACATTCCCATGCTGATGTCATGTGTGTGCTTGACGTTCCCATGCTGATGTCATGTGTGTGCGCTTGACGTTCCCATGCTGATGTCATGTGTGTGTGCTTGACGTTCCCATGCTGATGTCATGTGTGTGCTTGACATTCCCATGCTGATGTCATGTGTGTGCTTGACGTTCCCATGCTGATGTCATGTGTGTGCACTTGACGTTCCCATGCTGATGTCATGTGTGCTGCTTGACGTTCCCATGCTGATGTCATATGTGCACTTGATGTTCCCATGCTGATGTCATGTGTGTGCTTGACGTTCCCATGCTGATGTCATGTGTGTGCACTTGATGTTCCCATGCTGATGTCATGTGTGCTGCTTGACGTTCCCATGCTGATGTCATGTGTGCGTTTGGGTTTTTTTTTAATTAGATTTTTGAAAATTCTGTGCTCTATTCCATATTGAAGTGAGCCTCAGCCCAGAACCCCCCTTAATTAGACCTGCCTGGGCCCACGGGGGGCGTGGGTGTTACGCAGTCATCGTCCTGCTCTCCAGCTCTTTCAGCCTGTCTGTACCTCTTCTTCTCACACAAGGTTGGATGGCGGCACGAGTGCGTGTGCTAGTGAAGCTGCTGAAAGCCTACTGCAGCCCAGTGAGCTGTCCACCATGCGGCCAGGGCCGCTCCACCCAGAGGCCGTCTGTCTGTCTGCAGGGACCCCGCGCCAGGCTGTCTGTCTGCAGGGACCCCGCGCCAGGCTGTCTGTCTGTCTGCAGTGACCCCTCGCCAGGCTGTCTGTCTGTCTGCACGGACCCCGCGCCAGGCTGTCTGTCTGCACGGACCCCGCGCCAGGCTGTCTGTCTGCAGGGACTCCGCGCCAGGCTGTCTGGCTGTCTGTCTGCACGGACCGACCCTACGCCACGGCCAGGCCGGGCTGTCTTCACCCGCAGCCGGGTGGCGGCCCCCGGCCCCTCACGGCCCCGCATGGTGCCCTGAGACCGCGGGCGGCCGCCGGCCACCGCACCCCATCTCCACCTCCCCACGCACCCCGAGCCCAGCCCCGGGGCAGACCCGCCCCGCCCCACGCCGCGGGCGATCCTCCACCCTCGATCCTCACCGCGACGGAGGCCCCGCCCTCCCCAGGTGGCGGCCGCCGCGAGCCCTTCCGCCCGGCCAGCGAGGGTGGCGCTCCCGACCGCGCTGAGCCCGCCCGGCCGCCTCGGCCCGGCCGCCCTCGGCCCGGCCGCCCTCGGCCCGGCCGCCTCGGCCACAACTACATCCCGGCCCCGCCCGTCCTCACCTAGCCCCGCCCCGTCTTCACCTAGCCCCGCCCCACCCTCGTCTAGCCCCGCCCCTCCCTCGTCTAGCCCCGCCCCGTCTTCACCTAGCCCCGCCTCGCATCTCACCTAGCCCCGCCCCGCCCTCGCCTAGCCCCGCCTCGCCTCTCACCTAGCCCCGCCCCGTCCTCACCTAGCCCCGCCCCATCCTCACCTAGCCCCGCCTCGCCTCTCACCTAGCCCCGCCCCGTCCTCACCTAGCCCCGCCCCGTCCTCACCTAGCCCCGCCCTGCCCCAAGTGATCCACCGCCCCTCCCGATGACGTCACAGAGCCCCGTGGGCGGGGCGAGGCCTCGCGCGGGCAGACTCCCGAGGCAACGCCCTCCCGGGACGTCACAGAGCCCCGGGGGCGGGGCCAGGTGCGGGCAAACCCCGAGGCGCCGCCTCCAGGTGACGTCACAGAGCCCCGCGGGCGGGGCCTCGCGCGGCGGGGCTGTTGGGCCTCCCGGGCTGCAGGCGCCTGGCCCCGCACCCGTCGCCCTGCGGGACCTCCGCTGCGTATCGGCCCTCTCCGACCCCCGAGGCTCCCGGCGCGGCCCGGAGCACCCCTCCGCTCGCCGGCCCCGCCGCCCTCGGGGCGGCCCCCGCCAGCCTCTCCGGCCGCGGGGCCCTGGATGGGCCTTCCGCCCGCCAAGGCGCCTTCTCGGGGCTGCAGGTGACCGAGGTCCGAGGACCCGCGTCCCGGTCAGAGCCGGGCTCGGAGCCGCCCGCCGCCGGCCAGGTAGGAGCGCGCCCGCCCCGGCCCCGGGCGCCCTCGGGCGGCTCCGAGCCCGGCCCGCCTCGGCCCCGCGTCCAGCGCCGTCTGCGGCGGCGTGCGTGTGCGTCCACACGTGGGCTGTGCGTCGGCCCGCGCGTGCACGCGGCTGAGCGTGTTTGCTCACACGTGTGTGAGCGCGCGTGTCTGTGCAGGCAGCCCTGCGCCGTGTCCGCGTGTGTCCACGCGTGTCCGCGTGTGTCCGCGCACAGGGCGGTGTGCAGGCAGCCTTGGCCGTGCCCTCGTGTGTCCGCGTGTGTCCACGCACAGGGCGGGTGCAGGCAGCCTTGGCCCTGTCCGCATGTATCCACACGTGTCCGCGTGTCCATGTGTGTCCGCACACACGGCGGGTGCTTACATCTTTGCTGCACCGAACTTGGCTCCTAATAGAAAAGACCCGCGCAGCTCTGCGGGTCTTGGCTCACGCCGGCTGCTCACCCCTCCGTCCACTCAGGAGGTTGGGGGTGAGGGTCTCGAGGCTGGGGGTGAGGGTCTCGAGGCTGGGAGTGGGGGTCTCAGTGAAAGCTATGCTGGGCAGAAAAGTCAGTGAGACTCCGCACGTCCAAGTGACCTTGGACCGGCCAAAGCCAGAACTGCAGGTCAGCTCAGGGCGAGGGCTCCAGCCTTGAGGGCAGACGCTGAGCCCCGGTCACTCTTGCAGCTGGGAATGGACTGGGGTGTGAGGGACGACGGTACCTGGTGGAGAATGCAGCCACGGGCTCAAGGAACCTGGGACATCCCTGCCCCAAAGGCTGGCCGCGGGCTCACATCAAAGTGTTCAGGAAACTTAGCAGCATTTTCTGCAGGGCCATCTGGGCAGGCGAAGACAGGCAGGGTTAAGCTCAGGCTTAATGGACCAAGGTTCAGAGGGGCTGGGTGAGCAGCCACAGAGGCTCTGTGTGTTTCCAGGATGCATCTGCTGTTCATGGGAAAGCAGCAGGTGCAGTGAGCCAGCTGGAGCACCCGCTTCCATCCAGTTGTAGTGGAAACCCTCACCTTAATCTCCCAGGAACCATGGATGCTGTGGAACTTGCCAGAAAGCTACAGGAGGAGGCCACATGCTCCATCTGCCTGGACTATTTCACTGACCCAGTGATGACCTCTTGTGGTCACAACTTCTGCCGCGAGTGCATCCGGATGACCTGGGAAAAGGCCAAAGGCAAGAAGGGGAAGAGGAGGCAGAAGGGGTCATTTCCCTGCCCCGAGTGCAGGGAAATGTCCCCCCAGAGAAACCTGCGGCCAAACCGCCTGCTGACCAAAGTGGCTGAGATGGCGCGCCAGCACCCGGGGCTGCAGAGGCGGGACCTGTGCCCCGCACACCAGGAGCCCCTCAAGCTCTTCTGCCTGGAGGAGCAGACCCCTATCTGCGTTGTCTGCAGGGAGTCCCGGGAGCATCAGTCGCACAGGGTGCTCCCCGTGGATGAGGCTGTGCAGGAGTACAAGGTAGGGGAGGGGGCCCCGCGGGAGGGCCCCTGACCAGCGGGTAAGAGGCGCTAGCCAGCACTGGGAAGGGCCTCTCGGGGGCCAGGAACCCTGGTTGCAGATGAAAAAGTGGCATCCAGTGAAGAGGGAGCCAGGATCAATGCTAGAGAGGGAGGGTGTCCAGTGAAGGGCAGGGCTCCTAGGCCCAAGCCAACAAAGGTGATTTTCCGTGGCCAACTCCTAGGCTTCACTTTCAGGGCCCTGGTCTGGCCTGGCGGCCCAGTGAGCCACTCTGGAGGGGTGGAGTCCCGGGTAGTTGTGTTCCACTCTCTCTGAGAGCTAAGGGTCCGTGCGGCCTGGCTGGTTAGAAATGTGCTCAAATGGTTTGTAGGAGAAAGTGGCACTAGGCTGCTGCTAATCTAGCTGCAGAACATAGGGCAGCACACCAGCAGCGGCACACCTTCCCCTCTCAGTCCCAAATTACAGAATTGCAAGTGTTCTGATTCTCCAAATCAGACTCCAAAGGACCTTTTTTTTTTATTTTTTATTTTTGGTCAATTGTGAGGCTTGTTCTCAGGCCCTGGGTGCTGTCCCTGAGCTCTTTTGCTCAAGTCTAATGCTCTACCACTTTGAGCCACAGCTCCACTTTTAGTTTTCTGGTGGTTGATTGGAGATAAGAATCTCAGACGTGCCGGGCGCTGGTGGCTCACGCCTGTAATCCTAGCTACTCAGGAGGCTGAGATCTGAGGATCGCGATTCAAAGCCAGCCCGGGCAGGAGAGACCGTGAGACTCTTATCTCCAATAAACCACCAGAAAACCGGAAGTGGTGCTGTAGCTCAAGTGGTAGAGCGCTCGCCTTGAGCTGAAGAGCTGAGGGACTGCGCCCAAGCCCAGAGTTCAAGCCCCACTACCGACCAAAAAAAAAAAAAAAAGAATCTCAGACGTTCCTGCCTGGGCTGGCTTTAAACCCCAATCCTCAGATCTCAGCCTTCTGGGTAGCTAGGATTACAGGCGTGAGCCTTCAATGCTTGGCTGGATGACTGTCTTAATGTGGACAGAAAAGGAAACTGGAAAAGCACAAGTAAAGGTGCTTGGACTTGGGCTAGGAAGGTGGCTCAGTGGTAGAGTGCTTGCCTAGCATGCATGAGGCCCTGGGTTCAATTCCTCAGCACCACATAAACAGAAAAAAGCCGGAAGTGGCCTGTGGCCACAGTTGTCTCCGGTACAAGGTGGGCAGCTTCTGTCCCTCAGGCTTCAGGAACAAAAAGATGGAGTGATTCCTGCAACTACGCTTTTGTATTTGAGGGGCCTCTAGCTCGTAACCCTCATTCAGAAATGGTCTATTGGGGCCTGTTCTGACCTGCTTCACTGCTGAACTGGCTTGTCTGGGGTGGGGTGTCTGGTCCATGCAGCTTTAGAGAGCACAACTCAGGCCGGGCAGAGAGGGGTCAATCCACTGGCCTAATTCCTGTGATTGTGCATTCCACAGGTGAAGCTGGAGGAGGACATGAAGTACTTCCGGGAGGAGATAGAAAAGACAGAGAAGATGCAAGCCAAGGAGGAGCAGAGCTTAGTAGAGTGGCAGGTAGGTGCCAGGGCTGTGGAGGGGCCCTGAGGGCCTTTCCCTCCCCACAGCCATCCCCACCCACTATGGTAGCATGTGCCCCCAGCGCCTTCCAGTGTCTTCAGTGTCGGGGATTCAGGGAAGGAAAAGGTTCCTTCCACCCTCTGATGTCAGTCGCTGACCCAAGAATTAAACTGAAATAAAACGTGAAGGAGAGATGGTGTTTAGGGGAGGAAGCGTGCAGGGGCCGTGGATGCAGACTTAGACCTCTGGAGATTCATCCAAGGACGAAACCACAGCATGTAACTTCAGGTTAAAAAAACAACAACAGGGTTTCACCGGATCCAGCAAGTGAGTTCAGTTTGGCTGGAGCACTGATACAGCAGCAGAGCAATCTCTGGAGCAGAGCTGTCTGTCCCTGGCTGTATGGTACAGGTGGCATGGTATCTCATGGCTGGCTATGGCCCCTGCAGGATAAAGCAAAGGAGAGGAGAGAGCGCATCCTGGTAGAGTTCCAGAAGGTGGTCCTCTTCCTGGTGGAGGAAGAGCGGAGGCTCCTGCAGACCTTGAAGAAGGAGGAGGAGGAGACAGTGATGAGGCTGCAGGATAGCAAAGCCTCCCTGGACAGACAGAACCACTCCCTGCACTCCCTGCTCCTGCAGCTGGAGGATCGGAGCCGAGAGGACCCTGTCCAAATGCTGCAGGTGAGGCTGGCTGGGCCGGGCCAGCCACCCATAGCCATGTACCTGTATAAATCGCCAGGAGATGGGGGTGTGGTATGAGGATGCCCAGGCCCAGGGATAGCTAGCATGGGCTAAACTTGGGAGAAAATGCAGCCTGAGAGACAAGTCTGCTATAGCTTAGGCTGATGGAAGAGTACAGGTGGCACATCCCATACCAGGAATGCTCAGGACGGGAGAAGTACAGGTGTCAAATCTTCTTTTGAATTTTGGAATATTACCATCAATGTAATGAGATATCTTAGGGAAAGAACCAGTGTCTCAACATGAAATTCATATGTTCTGCTGATGGTGGATATATATAATAATTTTCAGTACCCCTGTGTTCTGACTTATCATTCTGATCCTATGGGATCAGGGGTGGAATGTTCCACTATGGTGTACCAGCAGTGCTTGGAGAGATTCAGATTTGGAGACCAGCAGGCTAGCGTTCTGTGGTGTAGTGTTCCTTCTCCATGTTGGGCAGCAGTAGCAAGCCATAACTCCCAGTCAGCCATGAGACTCCCAGGGTGTGCTCCCAATATATACAGCGTGAGGGCATGATGCTAAGCTGGGATGTGCAGTGGCCAAGTCTACTGTATTTTTAATTTTCAATGGGCTTAATAAAGGATCATCATACGCTCACATGCCGAGGTCCTGGAGGTTAGGACTTCTGTCTATGACATTTTGGAAGGAGGAAATAATTCAGCCTCCAGGAGGCTCCAGCCCAGATGAGCTGTACCTCCCTGCTTCCAGGCCTAAGGAGGTGGTGCTGGGCATCTGGTGGAGAGCTGGAGCAGGGCTCACCATTAGTATGGAGGAGACTCACTGACTCTGCATGGGCAGAAGTGGTTTGGGGGCAGGGCAGAGGTACCTGCAATGCTACGGCTCCGGAAGGGGTGGAGAGATGCTGGCCTTGACTTGACACACGGGTGGGCATCTGGCTCATTCGAGCACCCGGTAATTACAGCACAGAATGCACTTTGCACTATGATCCTGAAGACGCATGCATGCATATAGTTATGCAACTGAAGCAAATATCTCCTGCAGGGAATCTGTAAGGATTACAACACACAGGTGCTGATGCGCTGTGGGGTTTTCCTTGGTAGCTTTTACAGCCATTCTAACTTAGGATACAGTTTTTCTTCTATTAAAAAACGACAAAAACAAAAAAGCCTATTCAAAGCCAGGAGCCTGTAATCTGAAGGCTGAGACCTGGAGATCATGGTTCAAAACCAGTCTGGGGAGGAAAAGCCACTAAAAAGCCAGAAGTGGAGCTGTGGTTCAACTTGTAGAGCGCTAGCTTTGAGCAAAAGACCTCAGGCCCAGCGCCCAGGCCCAGTTCAAGTCCCAGGACTGGCAAAATTTTAAAAGCAAATAACCAAACCCACAACCTGCTCACACTTAGTGGGTGGTTTTCTGACCCCTTGGGGCCTTTTCCTGTGTCTGAGGTTGAACCCAGGGCCTTCGTGAGCAGGCAGCTCCCGCAGACCGTCCGGGCGGGTCCTGTGCGGGAAGTCAGCGTTAGGGTTCGGCTGCCCAAGGTGGTTTGTAGAGAAAGAGCGCGCGGGGCTCCCCGAGGTGCTGACCGGAGGCGCGGGCACCGCCGGGTGGAGGCCGGGCTCTGCCCCACACCCCTCGGGGCCTTGCACGGATGGGGAGCTGTGTGCGCGCGCACGCGTGATCTCCGTGCGCACGCGCGCGCGTGACCGCGGCTCGCTCATGTCGGGCAGGCGCCCGGGCTGGGCTCCCCAGGCTCCCGGTCCTCGGTGCCGCCCGTAGCTGAGCTGGCATGGCACCGGCCGGACCGGACAGGACTGGAGAGACGGCTCTGGGAGGAGCTGTCTGCAGAGTGGTCTTTGCCTCTGCCTGAGGGCGGCCGGCGGGGCAGCCGAGCCCCTCTTCAGCAGCTGAGCCCCTCTCTCTCTTGGTTCCAGGACGTGAAGGACACCCTGGCCAGGTAGGCGGGTGGCCCTGGGGGCGCGCGGGCGGCGGCGGGGGCGCGCAGGAGGGCGGCAGCGAGGGCGCGCGGACGGCGGCGGGGGCGCGCGGACGGCGGCGGGGGCGCGCGGACGGCGGCGGGGGCGCGCGGACGGCGGCGGGGGCGCGCGGGGGCTGAGGGGCCTCGTCTGTTCCCCGGAGGAAGAGCAGCCTGAGTGTGCAGTACCCGAAGGTGGACCTCCCCGCGGCGCTCCGGACGGTGTGCCGGGTGCCAGGCCAGATCGAGGTGCTCAAGAGCTTCCAGGGTGAGCGCGGCCGCGGGACCTCTCGTCCGGGGACTCGGGTGGGGAGTGCGCCCCGGGCGGGTGCGGAGGCGGCTGCGATCGGGCGGCCCGGCCTCGGCGCGGGTCCCAACCCCTGGCCTGCCGAGCTGAGTCGCTCCGGCTCGGGGAGCGGCGCCACCGGGCGACCTCGGGCTCACAGGGCCGGTGGGTCAGCTGGGAGGGGGGCGGCAGGAGGGGCCTCCGCCCCCCGCCCCGACCGGCCCTCCTCGCCCCTCCCCGCAGAGGACGTGGTGCCGGACCCCGGCTCGGCCTACCCCTACCTGCTCCTGTACGAGAGCCGCCAGCGCTGCTACCTGAGCCTCCCGCCCGACGGCGGCGCGCCGGGCGGCCGCGAGCGCTTCGTGGCCTACCCGTGCGCCGTGGGCCAGAAGAGCTACGCGGCCGGGAGGCACTACTGGGAAGTGGGCATGAACCTCACCGGGGACGCGCTGTGGGCGCTGGGCGTGTGCCGCGACAACGTGAGCCGCCGCGACCGCGTGCCCAAGTCCCCCGAGAACGGGTTCTGGGTGGTGCAGCTGTGCAAGGGGCCCAAGCCGGCGCCCCCGGCGGCCCCCGCGCCCGTCACGCTCGCCGACCCGCCCAGCTACGTGGGCGTCTTCCTGGACTTCCAGGCCGGGGAGGTGTCCTTCTACAGCGCGCACGACGGCGCGCACCTGCACACCTACTCGCAGGCCGCCTTCCCCGGGCCCCTGCAGCCCTTCTTCTGCCTGGGGGCCCCCAAGTCCGGCCAGATGGTCATCTCCACAGTGACCATGTGGGTCAAGGGCTAGGCGCGGGCGCCGGCGGCCGCAGTGGCGGAAGCTTCGAGAGGTAATTTTGCAAAGAGCCCCGAGTTCCGAGCGGACTGGCTTCTAAATACATATCTGAGCTGCAGGCGGGCGCCCGAGTGCTGATGTGGTTCCTGCTCGCGGACCCCGGCGGGCGTCGACGCGCCCTGTGCCGGGCCGTCTCCCGTCCGGAGGACGCCCCGTCCGGGGCGCGCGCGCGGGGAGGAGGCTCGGGGTGCGGGCACAGGGGAGGAGGCTCGGGGTGCGGGCACAGGGGAGGAGACTCGGGGCGCGCGCGCGGGGAGGAGGTTCGGGGTGCGGGCACAGGGGAGGAGGCTCGGGGCGCGCGCGCGGGGAGGAGGTTCGGGGTGCGGGCACAGGGGAGGAGGTTCGGGGTGCGGGCACAGGGGAGGAGGCTCGGGGCGCGCGCGCGGGGAGGAGGTTTGGGGTGCGGGCACAGGGGAGGAGGCTCGGGGTGTGGGCACGGGGAGAAGCTGGAGTGCGCGCACAGGGTAGGAGGCTTGGGGAGCGCGCGCACTGGGGAGGAGGCTCGGGGCACACGGGCGGGGAGAAGCTGGGGTGCGCGCGCACGGGGTAGAGGGCCGGGGTGCGCGCACGGGGAAGAGCCTCGGGGAGAGCGGGCACGGGGAGCGGGCCCGGGGAGGCTGGGGGGTGCGCGGGCACGGGGAGGAGGCTCGGGGTGCGCGGGCCCGGGGAGAGCGGGCACGGAGTGCGCGCGCTCGGGGAAGAGGCTGGGGGTGCGCGGGCACGAGGAGGAGACTCGGGGTGCGCGCGCTCGGGGTGCGCGGGCACGGGGAGGAGTCCCGGGGCTCCCTCACCCGGCCCCCGGCACCGGAGCGCGGCCCTGCATTCCGCCCGCCCCCGGGCCCGCGGGGAGGCCGCCGCTTCAGGCCCCGGAAGGGCGCGTGACCGGCCGCGGCCAATCCCAGGCGAAAGCGGATGAAAAAGAACGCACTTCCTGCATCCGCCGCCGTTTCCCGGCGTGCCGGCGTCCGGAAGCCGGGGCGAGCGCGCCCGAGCCCCGCGTCCCCGGAGCCCGCCGGCCGCACCCCGCGTCCCCGGAGCCCGCCGCCCGCGCCCCGCGCCTCCCGGGCCCCGCGCGCTCCCCGCGGCCGCCGCCCGCTCGGCCGAGAGCCGCCGCCATGGCCGCCCCCGACCTGTCCGCCAACCTCCAGGAGGAGGCCACCTGCGCCATCTGCCTCGACTACTTCACCGACCCGGTGATGACCGACTGCGGCCACAACTTCTGCCGCGAGTGCATCCGGCGCTGCTGGGGCCAGCCCGAGGGCCCGTACGCCTGCCCCGAGTGCCGCGAGCCGTCCCCGCAGCGCAACCTGCGGCCCAACCGCCCGCTGGCCAAGATGGCCGAGCTGGCGCGGCGCCTGCACCCGCCGTCGCCGGTGCCGCAGGGCGTGTGCGCCGCGCACCGCGAGCCGCTGGCCGCCTTCTGCGGCGAGGACCTGCGCCTGCTGTGCGCCGCCTGCGAGCGCTCGGGGGAGCACTGGGCCCACCGCGTGCGCCCGCTGCCCGAGGCGGCCGACGAGCTCAAGGTGGGGCCGCCGCGGAGGCCGCGGGAGCGCGGAGGGAGCGCAGCGCGGGCCGGACCCGCCCGGGCTCAGCCCCGCGGGAACGGCAGCGCGCGCGTGCTGCGCGTGAGCTTGAGTTTGGAAAGCCTCCGTCGGAAGGGCTGGAGCCCGCGAGGTCTCCTCGTGTTCCCGAGGCTTCGGACCGGGTGCAGGCCCTGTGCCTGAGGCCGGGAGGGGGAGGCCGGGACGCCGGGGGCGCTCCGCAGGGGGCGGGACCGCAGAGCTGCGCGCGTGAAGCCGGCCCCTCGCGCCCCTCGCGCCTCACTGCCGTCCCAGCTACCCGAGAGGCTGAGTCTAGGCATTTCCACAGGCAGCCAGACTAGGCAGCAAAGCCCATGAGACGCACCTCCAGCTAACTAGCAAAAAGCCAAGTGAAAAGGCACACCCCCCGAAAGCAATGAGGGGGTGACCCCTACCACCACCATTGGTGAGCGTTTTAGAAAGAGGAGTGGCCCACAGTGAGGATACACACCAGCGCGGGCCACCGCACCCCGTCTCCAGGGCAAATTTCAGCTGGTCCGGTGGGCGGCAAGCAAGGCGAGAAGTCCGGCCTGAGAGGCTTCGTTTCGGGGCAGGGGTCTCAGGACTGCCCGTCTCCTTCACCCCAGGGGAGGCTGGAGAGGTCCGTGGAGCACCTGCGGAAGCAGATGGAGGATGCACTGCTCTTCCAAGCACAGGCCGAGGAAACGTGTGCCCTGTGGCAGGCAGGTGCCAACAAAGGGGTCCTGGTCTCCGGGGGCAGCCCGAGGCACCGAGACGGGCTGTGTCAGGAAAGCAGGGGGGGGGTCCTGTGCCCACAGACACGGAGGACTTGTGATGAGCGCCTGTGTGCCTCGGGCAGCAGGAGGAGCAGGGTGGGGACGGCCAGTGGTGCTGCTCCCGACGGCTCTGGAGTCTTGGACTCCCTGGAGCAACAGGTGGTGGTGGTGGATTTGGGGTGTCGATGGTCCCACCGTTGGGTTTAGGGCCTGGAGAGGTTGGTTTGGGTCCTGCGGGGGTGCCTGCGTCCCCAGGTCCTGACAGGGCTGTTGCTCTTGCACCTTGCAGAAGATGGTGGAGAGCCAGCGGCAAAATGTGCTCGACGAGTTCCAGCGGTTGCGCCGCTTGCTGGTGGAGGAGGAGCAGAAGCTGCTGCAGAAGCTGGAGGAGGAAGAGCTGGAAGTGTTGCCGAGACTGCGTGAGGGCGCGGCCAGGCTCGGGCAGCAGAGCTCCCAGTTGGCCACGCTCATTGCCGAGCTTGAGGGCCGCTGCCAGCTGCCGGCATTGGGGCTACTGCAGGTGAGTGTGTGTGTGTGGGGACCCGAGGGGCCACGTGGTGCAGCCTGTCAGCAGACACACTGCTTGCTTTCCCAGACACGCATGTGCTTTGCCTTCAGCACGTGTCCCGCTTTCACCTGCCACACACTGGCCACGTTACACTCGCCACCGCTGCCTTCCACACCCCCGCTGGGAGTGTCCCACAGTGCGTCCCACCAGTCACTGTGAGCTTGACCTTGCTGTCTTCAGGGCCAGAGACAGATGGATGCGGCAAGCGCTGGAGAATGAGTGAGCGCAGGAAGCCCTGGGTGAGGTCATCCAGAGGCACAGAAGCGGGTCTCTGCGGGCCTGGCCAGACTCACCCGGGAAGTGTGGGCAGGGCTGAGCCAGACTCAGTGTGTTCTACCACCCAGCCCAGGATAAAAGAGGTTTGGAAGTGTTCCTCCTCATCCTCAAACAGGGCTTTTCTTAAGTGCTTCCTTCCTGGACCTTAGAAAATACCAACATTGAAGGAGGCTCAGGTGCGTTCTGTGAAATGGCACAGTGCACCATACCCTCCGTGTGACTGCTGCGTATGTAGTCGCTAAATGACGTTCTTTGGGAACATGTAAAGGAGAAAAAGCCTATATGTTCGTTACCGACAGGATTTCTTCATTTTCCCCAATTCTCTGAGTCTGTGGTTGGTTGAATGTACATATGCAGAACCTTGGGAATACAGAGGGGCTGACTGTGCTTACAAAGATTGCAGGGTCTGTTCCCCGTCTCCTCCTACCTGCGGGCATCACTGTTCTGAACCAACACTGTGGAGTGGACGTGCGCTCTCCCTGCCCAGCTTGGGGGTAGCGTATGGTGATTGGTCAGCAACAAAAGCCCGCCTGCAGCTTTCCCTCTTGGTGATGGCCCTAGATCACATACTCACCTACAGGAATGCTGCCCTCCCCTCCTCCTGTTCTCAGCAGCAGGCCCACACTCCCTGTTCTGTTTTCTTCCCTTGGAAGATGAGTGTCTTCATTACTGGGCACCATCTTGGTCCAAGTTCTGTTGCTATGGTGACCACTGGGTAATTCATAGAGATGGCAAATGGGGAGTCTCAAGGCTGCATCTTAACAGCCCTACGATTGGCCATCTCTTACTGCCTCATAGTGGCAGTTTAATCTCAGGTGCCTTTGGGGGGTATTCAGGCCGTAGCCAATCCCTTGGCTCCCTTTGCTGTACTTTGGGAGAGTTGTTCCAGGTATGGGTTCTGGCCCTGGAAAGCTGGCGCGCTCTGACCTGGCTTCTCTTCCCTCAAATCAGGACAGTTGATGTCCCTCTCCGTCCTCAGGACAGCCCAAATGACACTGAGCATGCTTGGCTGTCTGCTCCAAAGCTTGCTCACCTTCCACGCACTCTCTGCCTCAGTTGCTGAAACCTGTTCAGTGAGCATTGATGGAGAGACAGGGATAACCTCTAAGAGTTCCCAGATAGGCTGCAGATGGCACTTCCTCGGGGCTCAGCTGGATTTTGGGGGGCCCCACAGATACTCTGAAACTTGATTGTGCTTCTCGTGTGTTGTAAACATAGTAGCCTGAAACAGATAGCTCTGGATGTAGGGAAGTGTCCGTGTGTGATCACAAGGCCAAGGAGAAGAGAGTAGGGCAGGACCCTCCTACAGGGGGCAGCCCACTGGCAAGAAGCCCGAGCTGACGTGTCAGGGACCAGGAAGAGGCCCCCTACCACGTTCCCCTTGGTGGCATGGCCTTTGCCAAACTGTCAGACACTGCGGGGGAGGGGGGGGGGCTTGGCCGGCTCTAGGTGGAGGGGAAGAGGTGGAAGCAGAGGAGAGACTGTCAGGTTGGACAAGCTGGGATGTTCTGGATGTATGGAAAGTTTTTTCCCCTCACTTTGAAACTTTGGTTTGAAGTTATACAGTGTGCAGTCTGGTGTTGCTACATTGTGTTGTGATTGTTGGTGCATCCCTCACCAGATGATTTGTAGTAAGACCCCTCAGAACCTCCCTTCTGGCTGATTGAGTTGGGGGAGAGGTCCTGGGGGCTGCGCCAGAGCCAGTGTTTTCTTTCAAATAGCTGACTTCCAGGTGCTCCCTCCTGAGTCCTGCAGCCCCATGCTCTGGCACAGTGGTTTTCTTAACCAGATGTCTTGGTCTCCGAAGAGCCCAAGCCCCTTCCCTGGGTGCTGGGCTTGCTATCCGGGAAGACCTTGCCCTGCTGCCTAGCTGTGTACCCCCAGCACAGCTGTTCCCGACGGAGCAGCGAGCAGGTATTTTACACTCCTTGAACAAAAGTGTGGGAAGTTGGTGGCTTGCTTGTGCCTTCCCAGCAGGCTTCTTTTCCCCAGGCCCGCATCTCCACGCATGCCAGTGAAGGCAGCCTGGGCTTCAGAGCCCGCGAGGCTCCTTGAAGCCATGGGATCTGTTTCCTCTCCCAGAATCAATGACTTGTTTATGTGAAAGCCTCAGCTGTTGGGCCCACCTGCAAGGAACCTCTTGGCAGGAGCAGTGTCTCGCTTCTCTGTCGTCCTGGCCTGGCAGCTGGTGTGTGGCGTGAGCATGCGGGCTTCACTCGGGGCTTAGTGCAGGAGGCCCCTGCCTTGCACTGGGTATGTTCTTAGCTTTTATTTTCCTTCCGGTGCTGAGGCTTGAACTCAGAGCCTGCGTGCTATTCCTTAGCTTTTTGTCCAAGAGTAAGTACCAAAAAAGCTGGAAATGGAGCTGTGGCTCAAGTGGTAGCGCACTAGCCTAGAGCACAAAAGCTCAGGGATGGCTCCCAGGCATGGACTTCAAACCCTAGTATAAGTGCATGTGCATGTACACACACACACACGGAGTACACCTTCCAGGAGCTGCCTTCCACGTGATTGTGTGCACGGGTGTATTGCTGCACTTGGCTTTCTATAAACACCTAAGACTGAGTGTCTTACACTACAGAAATGCACTTATTTCCATTCAGTTTTGGCCAGAGGAAGTGCAGTATCAGGGTGTCAGGTGGGTTGATGTGTTGGTTCTTTTTCTGAGGTTGGGTAAAGAAAGATTTATTCAGCTCATGCTTTGGAGGGCTCCGGGTCCACACAGCATGGTGCCCGCTGCGGGGGGGGGGGGGGGTGCCTGGCGCCTCCTGGGGGAATGGCCAGGTGGAGGAGAGCTGTGACAGGGTGACGGACCACACCCTCACTCGGCGCCCGTGCCTGTGCTCAGGCTTCTGTCCAGCGTCCCTGGGCCAAGCCTGGGGCCGGATGGGCTTCTCCCCCACATGGGTGTATTTCTTTGGCCTGGAGCTAACCTTGGTTGGCAAAGAAAGACCAAGGCCTGGTCGTGGGGTGTGAGGAGGGGTTCCCAAGAAGTGCAGGTGCTGAGCGCATGACCCTCTCTCCCCCCACAGGACATTAAGGAGGCCCTGCGCAGGTATGAGCCCGCGACCCCCCGGGGCAGGGGGCTGGGTGTGGGGGGCCGCCAGCCCTGAGGATGAGGCTGGGCTGTGCCTTGCAGGGCCCAGGATGTGAAGCTGCAGCCTCCGGAAGTGGTGCCCATGGAGCTTAGGACCGTGTGCAGGGTCCCAGGCCTGGTGGAGACCCTGCAGAGATTTCACGGTAGGAATGAGGGCCTCGGGTGCTTGGGCTGTGGTGGAGTGGACTGCACCCTGGGACAGACACAGGGCAGCGAGTTCTTGGAGCAACGCCCTCTGCTCTGCGTGACACCAGCGGCGCGGTTCTCCAGCCTTGTGGTGGCTGCGTGCTGATGTTTAGAGTTACTGCAGACTTCATAGCCAAGGGCTCCACACCTGTGTCAAATCCGTTGTGAGCCGGGACCTACAAATGTATGGCCCACACCTCCCTTTTGTGTTGGAGAATTTACCAGGGTGGCTCACAAGATCCAGGCATTACTGTTACTGGACTATTGTAAATGATAAAGGTCAGCGACATATAAAGAAGGGATGCACAGGGCAAGTTTGCGAGGGCACCGGGCTCCATGCCCTCTGGGAACTGCTCCTTCCTGGCGCCTCACCAGTTAGGAGTCTTGCGGGGAAGTGCCATTTTTGGGGTGCAGATGATTCAATTATTAGTCATCAATCATCAAATGCAATGGCCTCCAAGTCCCAGGAGGTCAGTCCAGGGGTGACGTTTGTATCTAGTCCTATAGCTAGTCCTCTGGTGACCTGAGGCTTTTGTGCACCCTCCCCCCCCCCCCCCCCACCAGCAGACGCTCAGGTGTGATGTGAGGGGTCTCTGAATAACAAAAGATGCTCTTATTAGGAAATTCTGAGGCTTCCAGAATGTGCCAGGCTCCAGGGAGAGAGTCCAGATCTCTTTCTTGCTATACTTAGACATCCAAAGCAACAGAGTGAAGGCTATAGGGCTGCACCAGACCTGGAGGTAGGTGGGGAGTTGCCTGAGAATGTGGTCGGGACCAGGCAGCAGCCTGCCGCTCTGAATCTCTTATCTTTGGGGCATTCAGAACCCACGGCCCCATTGTGAATGTGGGGCCCAGAGCTCAGGCTCCCGTGGGACTGACGGGACAGACATGGAGAGTCAGGATTTCCTCGTCATCTGTGCAAAGGGGAGGGCCCGTACAACTAGAAGTGGTTGGGAAAGCGCCCCCTGGTTGGGGACTCAGCAGGGCAGTCTCCTGCAGCACCGGCCCTGAGCGGCGGGTGCTGACTCTCACCCTAGACGCTTCTTTGCAGTGGATGTGACTCTGGACCCAGACACGGCCAACCCGGAGCTGGTCCTGTGTGAGGACAGGCGGAGCGTGCAGAGAGGAGAGCAGCGGCAGGCCCTGCCCGACAGCCCTGAGCGTTTCGACCCGAGTCCCTGTGTGCTGGGCCAAGAGCGCTTCACCTCCGGCCGCCACTACTGGGAGGTGGAGGTCGGGGATCGCAGCAGCTGGGCCCTGGGTGTCTGCCGAGAGAATGTCAACCGGAAGGAGAAAGGGGAGCTGTCGGCTGCCTGTGGGTTCTGGATCCTGGTGTTCCTTGGGAGCTATTACACCTCCACAGAGCCTGCCTTCTCCCCTCTCCGGGAGCCTCCCAGACGTGTGGGCATCTTTCTGGACTATGAGGCTGGACACCTCTCGTTCTACAGTGTGACTGACGGGTCACTGCTGTTCATCTTCCCCGAGACCCCCTTCTCCGGCCCCCTGCGACCCCTCTTCTCACCTCTGTCAAGCAGCGCAACCCCTATGACCATCTGCCGGCTAAAAGGTGGGCCTGGGGATGCCCTAGCTCCCCAGTAACTCAAGAGATTGTGGAGCCCCTTCCCCTCCTGGCCCCTTTGCCTGACTTCTGAGCCACACTAGGGCCCAAGGGCAGGGAGCATGTCCATGGGCCATGAGGACACAGTCAGTGGAAGCCTGGGTTCTGGCTAAGGCTGTGCAGATGGGGTTGGGCAGTGGACGCCTGGGTGCCAGGGTGCCAGTTCTGCGAACAGCCCTCACAGAGCTCTAAGCCCTAGGTACTATTTCCTCTGGCTCAAAGGTCCAGGAATATCACAAGCCCTTCCAGCTCAGGCCCTCTGTCCTTGCAGCCACAGATTGTGCCCTGGCCGCCCTGTGCCCCCCTCCCCCAAAGCCCCAGGAACCTTCCTGCCTCAGTGAGGATGTTAGGCAGGTCAACAGCTCCACACCTACCAGCCTGTCTTAAACTTCAGCCCTGCTAAGCACCGGTGGCTCACACCTCAGGAGGCTGAGATCTGGGATCGGGGTTCAAAGCCAGCCCAGGCTGTAAGTTCCTGAGACCCTTATCTCCAATTAACCACCTGAAAACCATAAGTGGTGCTGTGGCCTTGAGCTGAAGAGCTAAGGGACAGCCACCAGGCCCAGAGTTCAAGCCCCAAAACCAACACAAAAAAAAAAAGTTTGGTCCCATAAGAGGGCTGGTAGAAGTCTACTAACCTGCATGTGGGTGCCCTAGAACGGGACAGCAGCCTCTAGAAAGATAATCAGAGTAACACCCCCCAAATAAACACATTCTCTCTCTCTCTCCCTCACACACACACACACACACACAAGCACACATGTACACACATCTGAAGTCCTGAGTGTCCCAGGCTGGCTTTGCAGTTGCTGACAGCTCCTGGCTCTCCTAGCGTATGGGTGGCCCTGCAGCTGAGGATGTGCATGAACTATGCTGCACAGGGTGGAGCATCACCCCCTCAGACCCAGCATGGCTCTGGTGTTACACTTGGGGAGTTGTGTCCTTTTATGTGTGGAAAGAATAGCACTCTGCTCAATAAACTAACTGCTGCCCCTGCTTATCCTGTGGTGAAAGGAGGCACCCAAGCCCCAGTATGCCCGGCAGGAGTGGAGTGCAGGCCCCGGTGTGAGGCGTGCAACTGCGTGCCCGTGGCATCCAGTGCGCACAGCGGTACAGAGTCGGTGGCGTGTTCAGCTCACCTCTGTGAGTGAGTGTGGTACACTCAGTGTCATGAGTTCATAGCTACAAGAGTACCCACGAAGCTGGGCCCTGGTGCCTCACGCTGAGATCTGAGGATCATGGTTCAAAGCCAGCCTGGGCAGGAAAGTCCATGACTTCAATAAAAACCACTAGAAAACCATTAGTGGTGCTGTGGCTCAAGCAGTAGAGTGCTCGCCTTGAGCTGAAGAGCTGAGGACAGCGCCCAGACCCAGAGTTTAAAAGACTGACAAGAAATGCGGTACCTACGGACAAAGGGCTGATCAGGTAATGGGGACATGTCTACCGCGAGAGCTACAACGCACCGGTGAAGATGGAGACGTCCCGCGTGTCAGCGAGGAAGAGGGGAGCTGTCCCAATCCTACCGGTGTCGGTCGGCTTCCAGGGCGCCGCCCTGCGGGGAGAGCGGCCTCCCCGGCGGCCTCCGGAGGAGATGCTCGACCGAGCGGACGACCTGTGGCCCGGCGCGGCCCCGAGGGTCGCCCTGGAGGCCGAGGCCGGGGACCTCCGGCTGCACGGTGGCCGGTCGTGCGGCCGCAGCGCTCAGGACCCTTGGTGAGCGGCCCGGCGGACAGCCGTGGACCGGACCGGAGCCCGCCCCGGGGCCTCGCGCTCGGGCCTCCAGGTCGTCTCCGGCCTCACCCTGCCGGCAACCCGGGTCGGCCGGGGCGCCGCCACCGGCCCCACGGGGGACGGAGGTGGAGGATGCGGCCGGGGCAGGACCGCGGGGTCAGCCGGGGCCGGGCCGGGCCGGGGGTTCCGCGGGGGGGGGGGGCCGGGGCCGGGACAGGAGGGCCCGCGGGGTCGGCCGAGGCCGGGCCGGGCCGGGCGGGAAGCCGGCGCCGGGGACGCACAGAAGACGCGGGCCGGCGCAGTGTTTCTGAGCGGCAGGCGCGCGTTTATTGGGAGCCGGGAGCGGCGGCCCGCGTCAGCGCCCGCGTCAGCGCCCCGGGGCCGGGTGGCGCCTGCGGTACAGCAGCGCGCGCCGCCGCTCCCGCTCGCGCACGAAGGCGCGCAGCCGCGCCGTGGGGAAGGCCACGGGCGCGGGCCCGGAGCCGGCGGGGCCCGCCTCGGTCAGCCAGGGGCTCTGCAGGCAGCTGGCGGCGCACGGCCGGGCCCTGGGCGGAGAGGGAGAAGGGCGGGCTGGGACCGGCGGCTGGGCCCTCGGCGGGCGGGAGGACGGAGGGCGGGAGGACGGAGGGCGGGCGGACCGAGGGCGGGCGGACCGAGGGCGGGAGGACCGAGGGCGGGAGGACCGAGGGCGGGCGGACCGAGGGCGGGAGGACGGAGGGCGGGAGGACGGAGGGCGGGAGGACCGAGGGCGGGCGGACCGAGGGCGGGAGGACGGAGGGCGGGCGGACCGAGGGCGGGAGGACCGAGGGCGGGCGGACCGAGGGCGGGAGGACGGAGGGCGGGCGGACCGAGGGCGGGAGGACGGAAGGCGGGAGGACCGAGGGCGGGAGGACGGAGGGCGGGAGGATCGAGGGCGGGCGGATTCAGGTTGGGAGGACCGAGGGCGGGCGGACCGAGGGCGGGAGGACCGAGGGCGGGCGACCGCGAGGGGAAGGGGCGGGGCGGAGCCCGTGGAGCCGGGGGGCGGGGCTGGAGGGCGGGGCCCGTGGAGGGGGGCGGGGCCGGAGGAGGGAGGGGCTCGTGGAGGGGGAAACGGGCTGGAGGAGGGCGGGGCTTGTGGAGCCGGGGCGGGGCCGTGGAGCCGGAGGGGGCAGGGCTGGAGGTGGGCGCGGGGCGGGGCCCGTGGAGGGGGGCGGGGCCGGAGGAGGGCGGGGCTCGTGGAGCCGGGGGCGGGGCGGGGCGGGGCTCCGCTCACCAGGGCCGGGCGCTCAGCGTGGCGCTCAGGAAGGACACGGCGCCCCCGGAAAGCCCCGCGTAGCAGCGGCCCAGCCGCACGCGCCCCTTGCGCAGGCCTCGCTGCAGGTCTCGCGCCCCTTCGCTGCTCACGGGGTACTCGGCGCTCAGCCTGCGCGGGCGGGGGACCCCGGTGAGGGCGGGAGGTTGTCACCTGGGTGGGTGAGGGCGGGGCTCGGGACCCCGGGGCGCCGCGCTGGGTGGAGGGGCGGGGCCGAGGCCTGCTCTGCCCACCCGCACGGCTCGGGGACCCCATGAGACTCACATGATGAAGGCTGTCACGCCGATGGCCCAGATGTCCGTCTGCGGCACCGCCCCCTGGCCGTCCAGGAGCTCGGGAGCTGCGGAGGAGCACGCGTGGGTGAGCGCGGGCGCGGGGCATGCTGATCTGCACAGCGGGTGGGTTCCGTGGCCGGGCACGAGCGCACACGAGTGCGGGCCCTGGCGCGAGGCGGGTGGGGTGGGTGGATCTGGAGGGGCCAGGGCCTCCTGGTGGGCACCAGTCAGGTCTCCGTACGCACCCATGGTCTCCAGGTAGTCCCTGAAGTTGTCTGGGGGCGGCACCTTCTCCTGGTGGAGGCTCTGGGCGTTGCCCAGGTCCACAACCTTGAGCAGGTTGTACTCGGTCACCATCATGTTCTCAGACCGCAGGTCCAGGTGCAGAATGTGCTGGGCGTGCAGGTACTGGGTGGCACTCAGCATCTGCCACAGGTAGTCCTTCACTTCAGACTCCGAGTAGGAGGGTCTGGGGCACAGGGTCTCAGGTCAGGCCCCGAAGTCGGGGGGGGGGGGGGGGGGGGGGGGGGGGGGGGGTTGGGGCACCTTACCCACAACTGAGCCCCTGTGGGGAGGGAGTGGTGGGAAGTACCAGAGGAAGGACAGGGACACTGGGCTGGGGGAGGGGGCTCCACTGGGAGAGCGGGTCAGCAGCATCCACAGCCCCCTCCCCAGAGCTCTGCACTCATCGCTCCCCCGTCCCGGGGCTAGGGCCAGCCCAGGCCGCTGGGTACCTCTCAGCCAGGCAGGGAAGCAGCTCAGGTCCAGAACACAGCTCCAGGATGAGCACCAGGTGCCGAGGGCTGAGGTAGGCGGCGTGGAGCTGGGCCAGATGCGGGTGGCGCAGCCTCTTGAGGGCCTCATACTCCCGAAGCACGACAGTCTTGTCTTCAGGCCAGTAGGGGACAATTTTAGCAGCCAGTGCCCGCCCGCTCACCTTCTCCCGGCACTGCCGCACCACACTGAAACGCCCCCTGGGTAAGGGTGCACGGAGAAGGCGTGAGCGGTCCCACACACTCGGAGAGGTGGGCCACGCTGAACAAGCAGGCAGAGGCAGGCGGGCAGAGGCAGGGCGCACTGGGCAGGTGCCTTGACCCAGTGCAGAAGGGAGGGGAAGCGTATGAAGAGCTAGCAGGGGAAATTAAGGCAGTGTCTCCACTCGCCAGCCACCCCCAGAAGCCCCTGCACCTCCTGATCTGCATCTGGAAGGCGAAGGTCTTGGTGCTGGGGAGGGGCTGCACTGGCTGCCCCCAGCCACTCTCCTCCTCAGAAGCTGTGAGAGGAGGAGTCAGTGGGGGGGTCAGGGAGGGAAACACCAGCAGCCTAACTCCCAGACTTCTCCCACCCTCCTTTCCCAGGCACCAGACAAATGGTCTCTTTGTAAGTCTCCCCACACCCGGCTCTCTCATTTTGTGAGGGTACACAGATAGGAGAGCACAGAACACAGAAGCAGGCACCATTACGTAAGTGTGTGCACCCCACGTCAGAAGACTCTCCAGGACAGACCAGGGGCAACCGTCACACCATCTGTCCTCTTCTTCACCCACAACAGATATTACTAATCAGCAGCACCCTTCCACTGAATCCAGACACAACACCCAAGGAATGTTACCACTGATTCTCAAAGGAACATTGGGAGGGCTTGTTCACTTGGTAGAAGATCACAGGTGTGAGTGTAAGTAGAGAGGGGCTGGGGGTCTCGGGAGAGAGCAGGCTCTGACTGTTGAGTGCAAGTAGAGCTTTCTCTCTCCTAAAAGCTGTGGTCAGCCCCATGGGCCATGGGTAGGAGGACATCTGAGTCTAATCTGCTGACCGCACAAGCACATCCACCCAACAGGGGCTCACCCAGGTAGCTGGGCCCTCCAAGGACAACGTGTTCCGAGGGGCTGCTGTAGGGCCCCATTCCTGCCTTGCTGACACAGGCCGTCCGGAAGGCGTACGTGCCGCCCCGGGACAGCCTGCTAGTCAGATAGCAGCAGTCAGAGAGGTCGGAGGCAAGGGTGGTCCAACTGCCACCTGGGAACACAGACATGAGTGAGAGAAGAATCCCTCCCTGAGCCTAAGCAGGCCCCGTGTCTCCTAGGGTCCCTTGGTGCTGACTAAGCAGGCCCAGTGTCTCCTAGAGTCCCTTGGTGCTGACCTTGTGGAGACCTGGGCCTCAGGCCCTCCCCCCCT